TGAAATAAATTTTTATATTTAATGACTGTCAATCTGTCAGCTTTGCTGACAAAAAAATCCAACAACGCAAAGTGAAAGGACTTTGTGTGCAGGAAGGGAGGAGAAAGGCAATACAAGGCGTTCAACAACTTTGTTCTCCTAATTAAGGCTCACTAGGGAAAACATAAGAAAGAGATGGCACAGTTCTCCCCTGAAAATGCAGTTTCATCAAAAGAAAATGAGATGTGCCAGTGTTGGCTGCAGTGTGCACAGTCCAAACAAGGCTGACGTGGGGAGAAACTGCAACCACATGCAGACTGTGATCAAAAAAGCTGGAATAATGGGGGTGTGAATTCCAAATATTGCAAAGCAGCTGAATTTATCAAAGCATGGAGTAAACGCAGAGAGAACGTGGTCAGAAAAGGCAAAACCACACTAAATGTGTGTGTCTGGTTGTTTAAAGCATTGAGATTTCAAACAGGTGCTGAAGAGTGACCTCAGAAATGACATGAAGGATGTGAAGAAGGGTGAGGTTATTCCTGAGGCTGGGTGGGGTGGGTGGGCACTGTCAGCCTGGGACAGTCCTCAAATATCTATCTTGAAAAAGCAGATTTTTTCATTTCCCTGCAATCAGTTTTCCTGTAATATATTCATTAATGCAGCAGGTGGAACAGGGAGTACAATATAAGTCCAGGGCACCAAGCTGGTAAAAGATACAAACAGTACAGAGCACTGAATGACAGCTCCAAATGATCTTGATAAGTGGGAGAAATGATCTGAAACCAATAGGCTGAGCCTCCCTGCAGGGAGGAGTAACTGAGAAAGGTGAAACCAAATACATCAACTCTGAGCAATCCACGAGCAGCTGCCCAGCACTGCAGGAATTTGGGAAAACGGGGTGGGGGACTCCCCCAGAGGCAGCAAAGGGGAGGGTTAGGCCAGGCTGGACAGGGTTGGAGCAGCCTGGGCTGGTGGAAGGGTGGGATCAGATGGGGTTTAAGGTCCTTCCAAGCCAAACCATCCTGGCATTCCCAGCCTCTGGTGATCCCAACACTCCTGTGAAATGAGCAGGAGTTTCCTGCTGGAGGTGCTGATGCCAAGACCTTTTGTGTCTTGCCAAACAAGAGAGGCACAGGGGCTGTGCTGCAGCTCCTTATCCACGCTGCTTTCAAGTTATTGCCCCACAGGGATCTGCCTGGAGCGTTCTGCTGGGGAGAGCTGGCAGTGCTCTTGGCTTCTCGTGTTCCCTGTCAGCATCTCTGTGTGGGTGAGGAGCAAACACAGCCAAAACTTTTGATGAGGAACGTTTGCAAAAGAGTTCAAAGCTTCCCATGGCCCTGTCTTGGGTGGGGATTGGAGCTGGGCCTTGAGCTGGTGACAGATTTATGGGATTTTCCCCCGTACCTGGGTGGTGGTGCCAGTTTCCAGCGTAACAAGATCCCACGAGGGTGAGTGGCTTTGGAGTTGTTCCTGTTGCGTGTGGAGCCACGTGATGGGATGAACCCACAGCTCGGGAGCAGCAGGGCTGCAGAACCCATCCCTCCAGGAGAGCGTCCTTTGCTCCAGGAAGTGCACACAGACACTGCAAGAGCTGATTTTTCCTTTTCTTTCAACCATCCACCCCTGGATTTGCTTTGTTCCAACCCTCCGTGGATCCTGCGGCTTTTGGGCAGCTCTGACGCCACGATTCCCAGGCTAAGGAGCTTTGTTTTCATGGTGCCTCAGCATTGTCAGGCAAACACCTCCAGCATGTGCAGTGCTCTGGAGGATCCATCTGACTGTGCCTGAGCCTTCCTCTGGAGCTGCTGGAGGGGAATCTTGCATCAGCACAGCCTGGTTTGGGGAGGGCTACAACTCCTGCTTGTCATGCCTGTTCCTGTGTGCTTTCCATGACCCTTTGATGAACAGTGACCTCTTGTCAGCCTTGAGATCTGCCTTCCCCTCTTCTGATGTCTCCAGCCCTGTCTTGGGTGTTTGGTTTTGACTGAAACACTCACAGGAACTGATGTAGTGCAACTGTGGGATTTGTAGTTCCTCAATCCTGCCTGGCTGATCCAGGAGGAGAAGGAGGAGAAGGAGGAAGGGGAGAGCCTCCTGTCTGTGCCACTCTTCATCTCTTCACATTCCTCAGGCTCCAGCTCCAGCTCTGGACCCCCACACTGCTGAAGGTGAGGAGGAGAATCTCCCGCTGTGGCTGTGCCTTCTCCGTGGGAACACTTTTGAGGAACTACAGAGGGTTAAACCCACAATTGTGAATGCAGCCCAGGGGGAGAGTCACATGCACCAGGGAGATTTTGCAAGTTGGTGCCTGCAGCTCAGGGTGGGGAGGGGGAGGCAGGGGCACAGGCCTGGGTAATCCCTGCTCCCAGGAGGCACAGGGGACACAGGGACCTCATCCAGCACAGGCTGGCACCTTCCTGCTTGGGGGTGGCACAGTGTGGCACCTGTGCAGTGCAGAGTGGGACAGTGGCACGTAAAGGACAGGCAGCAGCAGGAGGAGGAGGCTGAGCTGCATTCCCAGCACCAGGAGTGAGCTGGAGCAGGTAAGGCTCTGCTGGCTGCACTGGGAACAAGGCAGAAGGACCTGCTGGGTGTTTCTCTGCTGTTTAGTGAGAGCTTGGAGGTGTCCAAAAAAAGAAGGAAGTCAATTCACCAGAGGGATGTTGGCATTGCAGAAAGAATAAGAAGAAATGTAGACAACACAGAGCCTGGGAGTGCAGGAGAGGAGAGGCTGCTCCTCAAGGTGCCTCAGGAGGGATCAGAGGGAGGTTTGGGGGGACCCAAATCCCCAAATGGGCAGTTCTGCAGGGAAAGGCAGCAGAGCCAAACTTTTACCTGTCAGAGGTAAAAGCAAAGCTGCTTTGGCTGAGGAGCTCCCAGCATTTCGGGAAGGTTGTTTCCCTCCTGAGGATGGCTGAGCTGCTGCACCTTCACTGTCACCTCCTGGGGACTGTCCTCCAGAGACCCCAAATTCTCATCATCTGGGCCAGAGAGCCTTGATTCATCTCCAAATGGATGTGCCAGCAGCAGCTACAGGGTGGTTGGTTTTAATCAGGTTTTTCTTCAGTTTGTTTAGTTTCCTCTGTATTTTCACTCTTTACTTCTGTCTTCTGTGGGCTTTTCTGTCTTGATTTTCCACTCCCTTTTGTTGGAAGGCAAAAGAGGGAAAGGAGTGAGAAAATCCAGTCTGAATGCACCTTTTGGTGCTGGGATGTGCCCTGTGACACGTGGTGCCCATGATCCTCATGGCAGAGCTGTGCCCAGGGGATCCCCTCCTGCAAGTGAAGAGCAGGTGCTGTGCCCGTCCTGTGTGTACACACTCACTGCCTTGATCCTTTAAGTTTTCAGGGATCCTTTAAGTTCAGATCCTTTAAGTTTCAGCTTTTTAAGGGAGTTTTCAGCCCTTTTTGTTTTTTTCCCCTGTGATCAGAAAAATTTTGCATGTTGTTTCTCTTGCCTCAATTCCCTTTCTGACATTCTTCAACCAGAGACTGTCCTGGCTTTGTGCAAGGGGGTAAATACAGCCCCACCATCAGAAAAAAAAAAACAAAAACAAAACAAAAAACCAAACAAAACCCAACAAAACAAAACAAAACCAAAAAACCCAAAACAAACCAACAGAAAAAAAGTCAGAAACAGAACAATCCCTTTTGGAAGGAGAGTGGGTGAGATCTGTGAGGGATCCTCCCACCAGGAGACAGCAACAGGCTCCTGGTTTGAGCAGAGGTTAAAGAGTAAGTGGGGTTTTGGAGAGCTGGAGTGGAAGGTAATTGAAAAGTAAACTCCAGAGTCTTCCAAGCATTTAACAGCCGCCCACAGGTGCTGGCAGGAGGTTGGAGAGCTGTGTCAGCAGGGAAAAAAGCACCTGGGAAACCCTGGGCACTGTGCCTGCTGGGAGAGCTTCCCTGAGGAGAGGGGAGGGGAAAGGAAAGGAGTGGAGAAATGAAAGTAGAGGAGAGGGAAAAGAAAAACTGAGGAACAGAGAAAGGAAAAGAGAGGGGAAAGGAAAGTAGAGAAGAGGAAGAAGGAACACTGAGGAGAGGAGAAAGGAAAAGAGAGGGGAAAGCAAAGCAGAGGAGAGGGAAAAGGAAAACAGAGGAAA